ATGTAACGCTTCCTGACGCAACCTTGGACTCAGTCTCTATACCAAACATTCTGAGGAATTATGAAAGAATGACCTAATTTGCTAAAATACATACGTTTAAATGGAAAATGTCGTCCTATGACATCACAAGATGGTACATTTTCTCACTTTTAATTTATCTTCCTCCTCTTTCCCGAGTAAGAAAAAATTGTAAAAAATACTGTGAGCTCAGTTCGACAGCACTTTCATTAAAAGCTATAAACTTTCTCGAGCAAACGCCTCAATGACTCTTCAATGACCCTTTATGACTCTAAGTTACTTTACTTATAGTGCCTCTAAGTTGGATTCTTATTTGACTCGATCTGCGGCTTAATTTGCTCGAATTATCTTCAACTTGACGACAGAACATGTAGGTATCCAATAGGTAGTATATGATAAGGTTGGAGACGAGAACGTCCATGAGAATTGTAAGATGGACGATTCATTTTCCACCGCGAACGCATGCTGTGTGCAATGGTTACTTCACCGGTTCATTTTTTTCAAAGGGCAACAATGTTGATGGGCTTCGGTCGAGCTTGTAAACGAGACTGTGATTGTGGAACTTACCTATCCTCTTTGGAAGCTCTTGAATAGTAAGCCCGACTTCTAATCGCGGCATAAAAGGAGAACGCCTCGTTTAAATAGTTAGTTTCGCTTGTCCTTAAACTGAAACAGAGTAGGAAACCGTTAGTTGCTTCTCCGTATATTGAGAGGAGTCAGGAAGTCTGAGTCATTATGAAATATTTTTCAAAGATTTATGAAAACGATCCGCTCACGTATATAATATAATATCGAGCAAAGTTTTATTTTTATCGCTGCGGTCGTGACATGGTTTTCCCGCACGAAGCAGGTGCAATGGTGCATCGATGTCAAAAGTTAGGAAACGTGCATCTCAACTACAACCTCTAAATATTTCCGATTAAGTTTTATTTTTCCTACAAAAGAAAACCAACCGAAAATAAAAAAAAAAATCATAAAAAACTGAACAAAAATCAATTAAATTTAAAAAAATTAAAACTAAATTTAAAAAATTAAAATTAAATTAAAATAATTGAAATTTAATGTAATTTAATTTACTTCACTTTAATTTTAATTAATTATGGAAATACTTACTAATAATGATAATATAGTTGACCAATTTTGGAGGCTATTTCTCCTATCTGCCACCTTTTAAGTCCATATTTTGAATCAAGAATTTGCCTGAAAAGTAAAAATGCAGTTAGATTTGCGTGCTTAGTAAAAGAACAGTTAGGCGCTAGTAGATTATGAAAGTCACACAATCAGGGAAAAAGCGAATTAGACTCATAAAGTATTTAACGTACTAGTTTAAGATCGCCCCGCTAAAGCTATACAGGGTGTCTCACGAAAAACGAGCCACCTTGAATATCTGCCGAACGCGTCGGAATTTCGAAAAACGGTAAAAGACGTGTTCGTTTATATCGAGGGGGACACCTTTTGGCGTATTCGACATTTTCCCAAACCGCGGGAGGGGCGCGGGGCGGGGGGTGCCCCACCCGTAAGTCGAACTTTTCAAATGGCACCCCTA